AGAGGAGAATGGAGGAGAAGGGACTGTGGCGTGGCCATCCCCCCCGGGAGGTGATTTCTCTCTTTCTGTCTCTCTGTCTCTGTCTGGCGAGTGCACTATAACAAAAACCTCTCCAAAAAAAAAAAAAAAGGAGTTACTTTTCTCTAGATTGGCTCAAATTCCTTGAGATCTGTAATCCAAAGATACATGCCTCTATCTCAGGGATATATTCATGATAATTAGAAATATCCAACTGATGTTGGGACCAGTGGATGGCATAATGATTACGTTGCTGGACTCCCACATAGTCAACCACAATTCGAGTCCTGGACCTGGCGGCTTCAAACTCATACCAGGTGCGTGTGCATGCGTGCCCAAAATCCCGAGAGGAGAATGGAGGAGAAGGGATTGTAGCGTGGCATCCTCCCTAGGAGCCAATTTCTCGCTTTCTGTTTCTCTGTCTCTCCAGGAAGCACACACACCCTATAGCAAAAATCTCTCTTAAAAAAAAGGGGGAAAAAAAGAAATTTCCAACTGATGCAAAAGAGATAATTAAAAAACTGATAATTTTAAAAGAGATAATTTTAAAACACTGATCCTTAAGGTCAAATATTGGGTCGTCAGAAAAGTCATGGCACATTTTTGCATAGAAAAATACGCCATGACTTTTCTGACAGCCCAACGTATCATCCTACTATAAAACACCTAGGGATGTGTTAGTCTAAGACCAAGCAAGAAAGGGTCTATCAACACCTGACTCTACTCAATGCTACTACTTGGAGATAGTATAGAGGGAAAGGAAATGAGCGTGTGGACATCAATGTTGATGCTTAAAAAGAATCTATAAAAATAAATTGGATTGGGGGGCCCGGCCTCCCTGGCCTCTCCGGCGCTGGATGTCCCAGAGGCCGAAAACAAGGTTGAAGAACTTGCAACTTGAGAAGATGACAGTTACCAGCCCTGCATTACCTCAGGGGAAAACAAGAACTACTCTGCCATTCTTAAGGAAGCCAGATACCCAAGGACAACTCACACTGCAGATCCCCACAACACCATTCCTGGTAACTACAAGATGACTGCTGTGCCGCATCAGCTGATAATCATCCCTGCGTACCAGAACTGCTTTCCTGAAACTGCATTCCCTGGAGACTCACCTACACTTGCGGATCTGCAGGAGACCCTCCCTTAATCCAACCCTGAGTGGAGTTTATGCTCCCTATTGCCAAAAACTTTATGAGCTGATGGTTGGAACTCGTGGCCTCTCTCCCTTTACTTGTATGTATCACTTTTTCAGTAACTCTTCTGGAAGACAACTGTATATAGCAGGGATATTGTAATGGGAGAGTGAGACAGGGCAGAGGGACAAACATAGGAAAAAAAAT